TAATACGAATCGATAATAATAAATTCATTACATGCAGGTATTTAACAACAATAATTGGATAACTTTCTAAGCTACTATACGCGGCTTGTTCAAACTTGGAGCGTAATTTACAATCGTTTTAGAGTTCATAATAAATCTCGGTGAAGCAGACCAATGTTCTGATGCGCCGCACGATGAAAATTTTACCAGAATTTAATGCGAACAGAAAGCGATAATTTAAATATACGTATATATGTTTGGATACATTTGCGTTTATCCAGAAACAACAATAAAACGCCGTCGACACTGAGCGGCATAAATTCTAATTTGGTAAATGCGCCCGGGCGACGCGCTATAGTGTAATTGTATGTACTGTATAATTTATTTGATATTTGTCATCGCAATGCGTACGTGTACACGCAGCATCACAGCCATCGTCCCGACGCCCCGTCGAAACTTCGGACGGATATTTTGATTTATCCACCTTTTACCGGAGCCCCCGTGTTTACGCTACTGATTATCCGTGATTGATGTTTTATTTCGAATACGACCTGCAGTTTTCATACAAAAAATAGTCGGATAAATACTAGAAAATTGCCTGCAGCGCACCTGCCAGCTCGAAATGGGAGTATTCAAGTATAATCATAAAACAATTACTACTCAATTTGAAGGGACTTACTTCACTGTATTAGTAAAGAGTGTTATTGGAGAAAGATTATATTTATTTGGTATGGGAATTTAAAAAATAACATTCATTAAAAATCGTTCCAGCGGCCCGTGGAAACGAAGAAAAGCGAGCCTTTTATTCTGTGTTTCACATGTTAATAATAATAACTGCGGGCGCGGACCGAAACTCGGGAAAATAAACTGGAAACTTTTCCGGCATTAACGCAGTAATATAAACTCTCGTTTGCCTCGTTCGCAATTATTTCCCGGTTACCGCAACGGTTTTAATTAATAACGCACCGAAACCGACCGTGTATAACGCGAAATATTTGTAAATTTCACAAATATTTTAAGATAATTACAGAAGCGAGCAGCGTGAGAATCGAAATCGGTAATTGTTTTCTCTTCCGCTAGCAACAAAGTACATTTTTTTGATGCCACGGATCCTAATTGTTTACAAATCGTTAAATCGAGCCATTAGTTCCTCCACATCTTTCTCGTCTCCGAAATTGTCGTTACGACTCGACTTAAAGACTTTAATTCCGGCCGAGGCCCTTCAATCTTTGGAGATTTTTCACCCTCCGAGAAGTTTACGACGACCCATAAAACATTTTATACACTCACTATCTTATGACTGAATTTTTTACGGACCATGCCATAAAAACTCGACTCTGATATTATATTTCTTAAGGTGCAATGGTACTTATATTAAACGCAGAAACGCTTCAATAGGATCCGTTTCTTAATAAAAATACTTCATTTAGTGGGGGTTGTAGGGAATTTTCTTATAATCCTTTTTAGAAAGTGTTATTATGTTAGTGAGTTGGATATTTTCAATAGGTAATAACGAAATAAGTTATCATTGAGCCTTAATGAAATCATTACAATCAAGTGGGAAAAATCTAAAGCGATTGCTGCAGTATACGAACATTTAAAGGCAAATTTAAATTAAATTGACAAGATAATCTTGCAACAAATTGCACATTTATTTTATCAATATCATTACGTTCTAAACGAGTGCCATAAAAATATGTTTTAAGTGCAAATATTTTCGTTCGGGTAATGCAGATTCTCTATCAACCCCTGGCCAGTCCGGTTAGCAAACTAACCTTTTTATAGTTTACTACTGTAAGGCATTACGATTCATTAACTTTAATGGACTTTGTTTAACCTATTTGACTAACAGGATTCCGGGGGATATTCACTTGTAACGGGCAAAGAGGATTAGTCGACGAGCTTTCGGGCTCAGTCCGCGGGGTTAAAAACTACTCTTAGTCGAGCTTTCGGATTTTAGAGCCCGGAGAAAAAAAACCCCGTGCATTTCCCCGTTTCCGGACGCGAAAATATGAACAATAAAGATACCGGTCGGGGCGCCATTGTAACCGAATCGAATCGGTTCGAATTTTCCGCGCCGGCAATCATTTCAATCTATACAAACAAAAACCGGAATTAATTTACTAACAAACCGACCTGGGCGACCCGGCTGTCAGCGCGCGGACGACGACATAATCTCCAATTATAATTCGAACGGTTCCCCGGGAGTTTGGAAATGTATTTTTACCGAAAGCGCGCCGACGGAGCTCGGAAAAACGCGCACAATAGGCGATGGAGAATGGAAGAGATGACGGGAAAGGGTGCTCCCTCATTAGCACCGGTCGAGTACCCGAAGGATCAACATATAGGCGAATCCTGCTTCATTAAAATTGCTAATTTCACTCACGACTAAATTTACAAACTTATACAGAGTGTATACGAACCCATTCAAATTTTACATCATCAACTTCTTGTAAATGTAGTAGGGTCACCCGGTAATACTTATTTCGTTTACTACAAAAAAAAACATTAATGGATATAAAAGAGCCTAATTATTTCTCGGGAATTATTACAGTCTGAGGCCCTCCCGTTTTGCATTCGAAGGGCGAGATAAATAACAGTTTACCGGTGCATGGCGGAAAATTCGAAAAATTAATCGCCGCCTTCGCGAATTTACGACGCGGAGATTAAACAAAAACTATTAGTCTCCTACGAATTTTAATATTACGCGCATGATAAATTAATACACCGCAAATTTTAATTTCGACCTCGAAAACGCGCCAACAGTAACATATTACGGATCGTATAACTTCATCGCAGACTTTATATTACGTATAATCCCGTTCGGTATGGAAGTTTAATAAATTTAATTGGGAGTTTAATAAAACATCTTGTTTTTTTAGCGGTGCTAATTGATGAATTTTGTCGATATAACGAGGAAATTCGAATTAATTATATCAGACGTACGTGCGAAGAAATGGAGCGGGCGAAAATGTATTTCTCATTAAAAATTATTAATTAAAACGGGATAATTGCGATTCGCGCAAATGATAATTATTTATATCGTTTCGGTAATTAAAATCGAATCGTCGATAATGCGACGTGTTCATAATTAGGCTGTCGATATTATTTTAATTTCCAAAAAGGGGGGAAATAATAATTACATGTAACCGATTGGTTGGTCAACTATTGTTAGTATTTAATCGGTAATAATTTATCGTTTCATTAAATTTACATTTTTTATATAACATTGGCTCGAACAATTAATACGAAATCTCGCTTTATTCGCTCGCCTAAGTGTTTTTCCCCAACTTCATAAAATAAAACTTTTGTCATTACAAAAGCGAATGGCGTGAAAACCGTTTTATTCGAATCCTAAATTTTAATAAAACACTCCCACTTTCGCTTTTCGTGAAAGTTGAAAACCGATTCCGGGCGATTTACATACACCTCATCGCCTCTTTATCTTTCTCATTTCGATTCCAATCAAGTCCAGACTGCAGTGATCAAATTAAATCAATCAAAAAATTAACATAACTAGATGTATATGTAGAAATAATAAGGTGGATTTTGCAATATTTTTGGGCTTTCAAATGATCGAAATTTTCTCATTAATTACAAATTATTACACCAGGTTCGTTCGAACGAATTTGTAATTAGGCAATTTCTGAATTTATTGACGTTAGCCGTTGTTTTTCCCTTTAAAACGGGAAACTCGTCTGCTTCGATAAAGCGAAATGAACTTTTTAATAAACGTCTCGCTTTTCACGCTCCGTTTATTCGCAAAAGAAACATTATACATATATATTTTTTTCAATCCCCTTCTACTTGCGAACAACATCTGAGGAATGTATAACAATAAAACTCCTCTCCCGAGCTCGGCGGCTTTTCCCTTCCATTTACACACACATACACAACACACTCGCACATAATATACGCCCACCCTTGTTGTGTCGTATTTGCTTTAGTTCCACTCGAAGACTTGCGTTTGACTGGTGGATTTCATTGTGACTTTTGTAGCCGCGTTATTGGCATTCCCGAATTGTAACGTTCGCATTAACAGAATCTTCTTACTATACCTGCCGAAACCCCATTGAAACCTGCTGAAAATTTGGCGCATGCACCAAAATCCTCCACCAATATTTAGGGTAATAAGCAAGTCGTGTAAATTTTCTGTACTTATTTTGGTGGAAAAACTTAAATCCTCCACCAAAATTCAATTTTATGGCTAACACAAAGTCAATTTATATTTTAAACAGCCATCGGTTAATTAATTATAAATCATTGCAAATTAAGTGGTAAATAAATTATATAGGAACGTATACATGTTTCATTTATAATTTCGAAATTCGAATTAAAAAGTCCGTTCGAATCGGGTGAAATGATGTATTTCCGCGTGCATGCGTGTAATGTCGTGTTGTTTTCAGTAAAAAACGCCCGATAGGCGCTGGAAAATGAATTTATTAATGCAAAAATTAACATAAAATTTTTATTGCGGAATCGATAACGATTCTCGAAGCGTGTAATTTGAAACAATTATTGTTATCGAGAAAACGGTTATTATATAAAATTGCACTGATTTGCTGCTAAATATTTATATCAATAATATAGGTCAAAAAAAAGAGAGCATGTATTACAAAAACATATAATTTACGTGTCGAATTAGTTGCGTATTGCAAGTGTAGCAGAAGCAATTAAATTTTATTTCTATCGATCAAAATGAACCTCCCACACCTCGATAACTGCAACACACCAGGGAAAATATTGCCGGGAAAGTATTTAAAAGCACGTCTACATGCGTGTCGCACGCCAACTCAAATACGACTTTTATTATTGTCTAATACATTACTATTAATCGCGAAATACGTTAATGCAAACTGACCTAAGAGACCACGAATGCAACGCCTATTTCGAACGATAAAGTCATTCAGGGCATTTCGAAATAATACATCATTAGTTCAATCACTCACAAACGTATATAATACGAGTCCATTAGAGATTGGAGCTTAAAGTTGGTTGTATTAGGCGAAGAAGAGACTTACCAAATACCATTGTTCGTTGAATAGAGGATCGGGAAACAAAACGTTCGGTACGGCCCTGTATTTGAGCACCGAATGCAGCGCCTCCGCCGTCGAAGGTACGGCGTCGCTGAAGTACTCGCTAAACGGCGACAGCGAATGGGCGTCGCTGAAGTCCCGTTTCCTGCGGGTTCTTTCGTGTTGTTGTTGCACCCATAAAACCTGAAATAATAAAAAAAAATCTAATTTAATACTTTTTTTTGTATAATGCTTTTGTTGTGTTTTTTAAGGTAATTGTTTGTCAAACTAAATGCAGAAATGAAGGACGTATTGCGATGCGATAAAAAGCAATAAACAAATCGATTTGCTATATAGCAAATTCGATGTTGGTATAGTCGAAATAACCGTTCGCAACAAAAGCTAAAAACTTAATAATGACGGAATTAATTTATTTTCGGGAAATTGAGCAAACAACGCACTGTGTGTACCTTTCGAAATGTAATTAATTCGCGTAACGAACGGAATCGATAATTCGAAAATATTGAGCCCGAGCGCTGTCAGAAACACAAAATGAAGTGCTCCTGTTGCGCCCAAACGAAGCGAAACGGTATTTTTTTTCTAAAGGAAATTAAATTACAACTAAAACATCTAATTATAGCGACATAAAATAATATATTGATGTTCTAAAAAGACATATCAATGTATTGTTTACGCAAAAAAATTTTAAAAATTCAAGGCATTAATCTCATTATTTCTGAAACCACCAAGACATTTTGTAAAATGCATCTGAAACTCTATAATCAGGCATGAGAGAAGTGTTATAAAATGAACTAAAATTTCGCAACTAGATACTTGTTTTTTCTTCAGATATAAACTTCATTTTCGACATTATCGCCGGCTTGGTAGAGATTTGCTCTAGTTAATATATTCACGGAACAATATAATTGCTTTGCTCACTAGCTGGCAAATCAAACACTGCGCCAAAACTCAAACTAAGCCTTAATTAAAACACTACGTTTAAACAGATGAGTTGCAGCGATAGACGGTTATGTATATTTCGGTTTCGTTCATTCTCCATCGGAGAGACACGACGAATAATAAAGTGCAAAAAGCGAGAAGAACTCGCTCATTTACTCAAAGGGATACTTTGAGTAAACGCTACGATACTTTGTTTAAATGCATGGTAGTAATGCAATGAATAAAGTGCACTGCACTCTATATTTCATACTTAGTAATCATTATTTTCTTGTGAGAGAACGTATTCTAAACTAGTTTGTTGATTTTGTTGTTATAATATAACACAAACAACGCCGTGTTATTGCAAGTGCATTCTCCGAGTTTTTGATGCAAGTACAACGTCAGCATTTACCTATCCCGAAGGCGGCGAAGATGGCTGAATAATAATTTCGCATTAACCCGGAGCAAACGTTATTATTACCGCCGACTAAAAAATAATAAAAAATTCCTGTTATCCGAATTGACCACGAATTTTCCCCGAGCGCTGTAGGTCACGTAATGGCGCATTATCCTCGATAGAAGCCGAAGTAAATAAAGGACGAAGGACGTACGGCGAACACACAATACACATACCGAAGATTAAACGAAAGAAATATAGACGATATAAAACAGAATCTCGGAGTTGTGTGATCGGATAAAACCATTGTAAAGTGGGCAATAGCCGGTCTCTCGCGGGGTTCTCTCATATACAGGGCCGTTTAACGAGATTTAGTCAAATAAAAATTGCACCTAGCATTCTTAATTCGAGCACTGAACTTTTGAAATGCGCTAATTAGAGTTCGAGACGTCGCCCGGATCGTTCTTGTGTAATGTTGAGTCCGGATTTGGCTCTCCCCGTCACGTGCTCCGGGCTCCGGAGCGGGCGAAACTGCATGGTACACAACCGGTCGAAGGGACTTTGATTCTACCCCCCGGACTTTCCGCACAGACTTGCCACATATATCTTGTTAAATGTTCTATATACTGCGGTTTAATGGTGTTCCGGATTTCGCTGTATACGGGGCAAAAGCAATCGCCGAACTTTCGACGTTCGTTTCGCCGTTTTTTATACGTTGAAATTTATAAGAAAAAAACTAAGCGAATAATTCGGGGTAGTATAAATTCGGTACCTATGATGGGTATTTTTTTGCGCGCGTCTTCCGCGTCCTGTCGTTTAATTAGCGGAAACTTCTCCGGTCATTTGTTTTTTCATCGAAACTTAGTTAAATTGCATAGGAAAAGTTTTTGTTTGCTCATCGCCCGTCGCTTTTTACCAGCTTTTCTGTTAATTAATCTTACACCTATTTGAATACTTTGAAAGACTCCGGGGCTAATTCGCCCCTTTTTATATACCAGTTCGACGCGACTGGAAAAGTTCGACTTTAATTCGGTTATTTCCACCATAAAAAAATCGCATTTTTATCCCCATCCCGATTTCTTGATAACTACGCGGGAATAAACACAAACGTCTGTATAAAAGTAAGATCGAATGGCTGCAGTAAAAAACAAAAATGCACTCTACACAAAGTAAAAATTCCACCGTCTAAATTCCGAAAAATCGTTCTTTTCCTACGGTCTGAAATTCCTCTCGGTCTAAAATTCCCGGCAATTATGCGAATATTTAGCCGACCGAGCTTCGAAATAGGAACAACGCGAACATAAATATTACTTTAAGCTGTTTAACAAATATTGTAAGAGATTACAGTGCCTCGCAGTTGTTTCGGTGGGGAAAGTCGACAAGAAGTTTCGCGGACGAGACGCGACACACACACACTTTCGAAACAAAACCGCCTAATGAGATACGGTTTTATTCAAATTGCGTTCCCGTTGAAAATTTGAATAGGATACCCGCTGAAAAATTACCCTAATAAATAATATCTTTCCGCGCTTTTTGTTTCGACCCTAATCCCCCCCGTCGAACAGTCGACACCTCAGTCCAGATACTCTTAATTAGACGGTGTATTTTTTCTTTAAAAAAACACTCAAGTTTTACATAAATATTATACGTATTGTTTAGGTATAAGCTATTAAAGTTGTTTCTTCGAAATAATGTATAAAATGAAGTTATAACAACTGAAGTTAAGAACTTGCAATAATGTCTCAGTAAAATCAAAATATCTGAAAAACTCCGAGACTTTATAGAAAGATGCTAACTTAAAACTTTTCATCGTAAAACGAACCTACACACAGTGAATTATTGATCACAACTCATTTCGAAGTCGAAGCGAAATTTTACAACGATTATTTTCATTTTAGTGTAGGTAACTATCAAAAAAGCACCGCGAACTTTAGGGAAATTACTTTGACCCACCATTAAGTTTCTTCTATGATAAATTATTCAACAGAATTTATTAGTTTTTACTGAAACGTGAATATATAACCGGTTATTTTGTCACCGTTATACATGATAATTGAACACAGTAGATACTAATTCAAAAAACGCACCAGATATTTTAGGAAAATTACTTTGACCTACCATTAACTTTCTTCTATGATAAATTATTCAACAGAATTTATTAGTTTTTACTAAACCGTGAATATATAACCTGTTATTTTGTCACCGTTACATGATTATTAAACACAGTAGATACTATTCAAAAAACGCACCAGATATTTTAGGGAAATTACTTTGACCTACCATTAAGTTCGAAGTTTTCTTCTACAATAAATTATTCCTCGTAATTTATTAGGAGGCAATGTAAAAATATGATTTTATTACCGGTTATTTTGTCACAGTTACACAAAAATGAGAAATAGTCACTATAAATAATAGGACCACAAATTTAGGAAAATTGCTTTCCTACCACAAAGTTCGATAAATAATTCATTGCAATTCATTTACAGTAATACGTTAATGAAACGTGAATTTATAACCGGTTATTTTGTCACAGTTCCACGAGAACAAACCAAAACGAGGCGGTTACCGCCCGATTTTATTTAGCGCATCGACTGTTTTGTTGTAATGTTCTCCTTGTAAAAATAAAATCGTCGAGTGCGAGGAGGGTGTGTTCGTGTCAGCGAGGCAAGTCAGGTGCCCGCATAAGTACCGGGATTTCTGTGTTATTTGCGAATGGAGTTCAAAAGGTTTGCCGTTTGATATGTAAACATCGACGAGTCGGTTCGAAATGTTGTTCATTTCGTTGGCATTTTACATTCCGGCGGTGTTGTAGGGCGACGGTAACGCAATTTACGAATTGTCGCCGGTTTTTTTTTTTGCCCTTTCTCGCCAAACGTCAGGGCGAAATTTTCTCATACATACTACGAAAAAGTTTAGAAATTAATTTGGAGTTTTTTTTTTTTATAATAAATAACACCATTATTCAAACTAATTGAGTTGTGCTTTTTCCCTACTCTCTCCATCGGGAAAAAGAGGAAACGCGCCCCATTATTTTCGATTACCGTTGAGCCGTTTCGGAAAAAAAAACAAAATGAAATTTTTCTTATCAAAGCAACAATCCGCCGTATTTTATTTAATATTTCGAACCATAGGTGGGCCCATTAAAAAACACGGAAAAAAAAAACGCAATTTACTAAACGATATTTCTTCATAAAACGATGCCTCGTACATAACGAGATGAAAACTTTTTCCCCGGGCGCAACGTCGAATCGACTTATTAAAAAGAAAAAGTCCATAAATTATTCACAGAATAACAGTGATTCGTACAAAAAAAAATATACGATTCGGTCAAAAAGGCAATTTGTTTGGGAAATATAAACGTTTTTCCGGCTCCACACTCGCCCCTAAGTTTCCCGCTAATCTTCGCTAAGACCCGGAGCTCTCGCGGCGGATCGACCAAACTCCTCAACGATGGTCATAATAGAAAAAAAAAGGGGGGGGCGATTAAAAGATTCGATGCCGGCGGGAGGGAGCGGGGAAACTTTCCCCAAGTTCGCTGAGTAGTTTCATAAACTTTTTATATACCGGCCCGTTGATGGAAAACTCTTCGGGTAAAAATATAGCGTACTCCACGAACTTATAATTAAATATAATTCAATGTTAGAGTAAACATACTTTGTAGAGATTAATTTCGACGATGTGAAAAGTTTCGCTTCGGGAAGATATTTTTTCGAGTGTTTCATTCGTTAAGTATAATATCAGATAGGAATTTGCGAGGATAAAATTCGACTGTATACTAGACGAGATACTCCTATGATCGTAAAAATATTTCAACATCAACTCACTGTCGCAGAAACACAAAGACTTGTCTCATAAATTTTTCAAGTGT